ACCACCACCACCACACACACCACACAAACACAGTTTGCTTTCTCTGCTTCAAGTATCCCTGACTTTCATCAAGGGATCAATATTAGATTCTCTGCTGCCTTGGGGACTCACATTTTTCCCAACTGAAATGGCCTTCCGTGGCCACCCATACCACAAAATATCAACCCAGCAGAACCGTGCATTCAACTACATAAGACAACTTTTCTGAATCTTCACTTCAGTGATTTTGCCTTTTGAGCAGTCTCACCTGACTCATAAGGACCCTACAAGATAGAGAACAACGTCTTCCTGAGTTTTTGAGGCTGGAAATCTATTGAACCACAGACTGGCTGTGGTTCACTAGTGCATCACTAATGCTCCTCCAAAAGCAAAAGGCAAAGGTAACATTCCATCTAAGTTGCTTGTATTCACATCATAAAGGTCAATGTCAAGCTAAATTGGATTGCCCTCTTTCTGAAACCTGAAAGATACTTACACAGAAAGGAGTACAAGTCACTGAGGGGACCGGAAGGGCATTCCGAAGAGGTGGCTTTGAAGTTAGACCTTAATTAAAAGACTCACTGAATTTCTAGCGATAAAAGGTTCTTCACTGATAGAAAAAACACACGGTACAAAGGCCGAGAGGGTAAATCTCATCTTTGAAAATGTCTCTTTTTGGATCTTTGAAAAGCTTATTTGTTTAACATGAAACTGAACCAAACTCACTGCCATCGAGTTGATGCTAACCATGGCCGCTCCAACAGACAGAGGACAACTACCCCTGTGGGTTTCTGAGACTGTCACTCTTTCTGGGAGGACGGGTGTGATAAAAGTAAATCAGACATAAACTGGACCCCATAGGTGTGTTTTTCTTTTCTTTTTAAAAATCACTTTACTTGGGGCTCTTTCAGCTCTTATACCATTCCATACATCAACTGTATCAAGCACATTTGTACATATGTTGCCATCATCCGTTCCAAAACATTTTCTACTTGAGAAACATTTTCTACTTGAACCCTTGGTATAAGCTCCTCTTTTTCCCCTCCCTCCGCCACTCTCCCACCTTTGTGTATCATTGATCAATTATATATTGTTATTTTGTATCTTACACTGCCCATTGTCTCCCTTCACCCACATTTCTGTTATTCACCCCCTTGGGAGGTGGCTATATATCCAATCTTGTGATGGGTTCCCCCTTTCTCACCCTTCTCCTTCCCTGACTATCCCCCTACCCTCATGATATGGTGACTCCCATGACTATTCCTGAGGGGTGATCCCGTAGTTCTTGAAAGCCAAAGTAAAATACGTGGACTTTCTTCTACGTGTGAGTGTGACAGCCTACGCTGAGGTAACACGCCCCTTGCTGCCGAGTGGAGGTTATACCTACTTGAGGTGAGGGACACGGAAGCCAGGTCACAGGCTGCTTTCAGAAGGTCCACCTCTCAGAGCAGCTTGCATTAGTGCTCCTGACCCACTGATGGAGGCTGAAGCCACGGACTGGTGGCAAAGCCACGTGAAAAGGGAACGGACGGTTCAGGTGAGAATTCAAAAGCTCTGTGTTGGGCATGTTAGGTACACAGTCCTCAGTCCACAGTGGGAAGGGGTTCAGGTGGAGTCCACTTGGAACCCAAGAGCCTGCATCTCATCCTGCAGGCTGTTAACAGCCACCTGCCCATGAAGAGTCACCTGAGATCTCTGAAGCAGACTCCAATCCCACTTCTGAAAGGAAGAGCACACTCCTGGCATGAATTAGGCATTTCAAAATGCCATCTGCTATCCTGGTTGTAACTTATTTAACTGCAGATGGCCTACGATCATGATAGTTTCCCTTACTGTCGTTGGCCTAACCTCCTATAGCTTTTCCCTGCCCCCACTTCAGTCCCTATGGAATTCTTGTTGTTCATGGGCAAACGTGCTTAATGTATCCACAGATATCGGTGAGAATACTCTCATTTACCGCAACTGACTGTGAATGGCTAACAGTTCACTTCTATTAGTTGGTTAGTCAAAAGACATCTTGAGACTCTCCTACCCTTATTGTTGTTTTTTCCCCCCCTCAGGGTCAACAACTGCATACCTTGATTATCCTAAAACACGAGGTAATGTTAGAATTTCTTTATGTGCCATCCCAATCAATGAATTCTACAGTAAAGCCTATGGAATCTCCATCTCTTCTGAGAACACCTGCACTCCATCAAGGCAGCCTGTGCTGCTGAAGTCCCCGAGGTCATGTCACCTGCTGATAAACCTGTCCCTTTCCCCTCTACCTTGGAGTCATGGAATTGCCTCTGCTTCTCCGTGGAAAGAACACTTGTTAGACATAACAGGGTTTCATCTCAGGGGTAACTCTTAGATTCTGAACTAGCAAAATTCAATACTTTTGAGTAAAGGTTTACATTTGACAAGGGTTTAGATGTCTTTGTTCGACTAATTTCTGGTAGGGCTCACCAGTAGGATGGGTGAGAAGGGGCTTCTGTTGGATTATTCCTTATAAATTAATTGACCTCAGAAACTAATTACAGGGGTCTTCTATCGATTTTGTAGCTTGTAGGTAGTACTGTAAACCACCACCGTGACGTTCACACAGCTCCAGTCGGGTGCTGCAGAAATGTGTGAGGGTTCATCTTGGCGACGGTGTCTCATTTCGCCAAAACGGCTAATCAAGACTTTTAAGCGGTCTGGGAACGTTTAGAGAACGCTAGCTCTGAGACTCTAGCTCTGAGACTCTTTCAAGCAATTCTCTTTTTACATCTTTCTCCTGTGGCCCACATTCTTACAAAAGAGCTGCGTCAAAATTTCCTTCCTTAGGGATGAGTCAACCAGGGTGCAGTGTAGCCCCAAGGAAACACACAATATTCTTCTGGTTCCCTGAGGCTTCCTCACCCTCCACTATCATGGCCCCAGTCCTGCCTTTCAGTTCTGGCTAGACAGGAGCATGTACACAGGTACAGATAATAGCTCACAACACATGGAATCCAGGTCAGATAAACCCCTCAGGCACAGAAATGGGAGTAGCAATACCAGGAGGGTAGGGGGGAAGGGGGGAAGTGGAGAAGGGAAGAAGCTGTGTGGGGGAAGGGAGACAACAGACTGTGTAAAAAATGAAAATAATAATAATTTATAAGTTATCAACGGTCATGAGGGTGGGAGGGAGGAGGGAGGGTAAAAAAGAGGAGCTGATCCCAAGGGCTCAAACAGAGTGTTTAGAAAATAATGATGGCAATGTGTGTACAAATATGCTTGGTACAATTGCTGTATGGATTGTATTAAGAGCTGTAAGAGCCCCCAAGAAAATGATCTTAAAGAAAAAAAGAAAATGTTTTAAAATTGAATGG